TCATTTTGATCTAATAATAGGCAGCAATTTAAATAAAATTAAGTTTTATACTTTTTATTAAATTACGAAAATTTGGGCACAACAGCTTTTTAGTATCGGTAAAACGGGTCCACAGTTCATAAAAACTTTTTCATAATCGTGACAAAAAATACAATCGACGCAAATAACACATTAAGTTTTGTAGCAAAGTTCAAAACTAATATATAGATATGAATGCACGGATGACGTACATATTATATTATATTTATATACGTAGACAATATTTACGTAGCGTGCGCAGCCGAAATACACTATTATTTTTATATACCTACGTATTACGTATGCAATTTTTCTAAAATGAGAAGAACGATTTAAAAATGTCCTTGAGTATATTTAAAATTAGTTATTTTTATTTTTCGGACACTTTAATTGACAACAACATAATATAATAAAATATAATAACATACCTAATAGAAATCTGTAAAAACACTCCCAAGCTTGAAACCATACAATACCATTATTTGGACAAAATAACCATAACTATTACTACTACTACAACCTATGTTACTATAGTATAATGCAGTAATGTACTGTACCTCTGTACCGTACTTTGTTTTTACTGTACTATAAACAACATTATGGAAAATTTTATATTTATCTTATGTTTAAATGCTTTCATTTTGTTTAAAGACCGAATCATCTTGCACTTGTCTATTGTTCGTATAATATTGTATACTGATTATCATATAGGCGTTTGAAAAAACGGAAGTACCTACACGATTTCCCGTTACGGATGCACACCGAATATTTGAATAATTTAACATAAGTACATACACAACATATACATTTTAAAATATCTCTATATGATACTTTTGTCTACACACGATTTATCATGCAGCAAAAACATCAATATTTACGTCATTACTATTAGTTATTACCGTTGATCACGGAGAGTTCGTGCACGTTTCGCCGTGACACAAAATAAATGGATTAAAATTTGAAATGACTCCGATATCACTGTTAATAATTATTATTTATTACTTTGTTTGGTATAGTGTCGGATTGAGAATATATTGATTTCGGTTCGAAGAATATGCAATCCATTACATTGTACATACACTTAAAAGTAGTTAAAACATATTTTGAAATTTAGTTATTTTGTTGGTATCTGTATTGCAAAGTAACAAAAACACAAATAAGTCCATACTTTGTTTATTTTTTTAAACTTTTAATATGAATGCAAATTTCACTGGATTCAAATTGTAAAAAACCATACCAATAGGAATATAAAAATACAGGTTATAATTTCGTATGCAAAATATAATATAGGGAGGTAGTAAAAAAATATTAATACATAAAATTAAAATAAAGCATTTAAGTATTACACGAAGTACAGCGATTGTCGAACAAAATTTGTTTACACAATAAATTATACCCCAAAAAGATATTAAGACACTGAACTTACGTTTCGTGCGAGACGTGAGCTTAATACTAAAATAAATTACTTCAAACAATTACTCTTCGTGTACTTATTACAATTTTTATGAGCTAACTACAAGAACATTTTTCGTGTATCTATATCATAATACGATTATAGATACAATGTCATATAATATGATATTATATAGTATATACCTACATGACAAGCTAAATATTACCAATACCAAGATTTAATGATTATGAACAATTATTCATAAATAACTATTGGGTTATTTAAGAGTAATAATAATATTTCAACATTATAAACATGTATTATAAATAATGATACGAATAATAGATACATTTTTAACCGTATTTTATATTAGATAAATTGAATTGTTCAATGTAGGCCACTAGACACATTATTATAATCATTATGACGTATGTAAATTATTTCATTCAAAATCCTTGACAGGTTTTAGTTTAGTTAATTCAAAAATATAACTAAATGTCCAATGCAATATATTAAATATCCAGAAGAATATAATATTATGTATTATGAAAATAAACTAATACGACTAATAATATTAGAGAACGTTTTAATAATATTATGTGTTATAGCCTAATAGGTACATCGTACATATTATGTGTATTTTGAATCCAATCTAGCATAAATGAATGAATCAATCAATCAACAATTATGTTATAAGCATTTTTTTGGAAACAAGCAATAATATTAAACTTTTAAAAATCATAATTTTCTTTTGACGTTTCTTTTACACTAATTAAGTTTTAGATATCCGATCGACTGTCAAACACACGAAATATTATAGCATTATACCCAGAGACGCCCAAAATAAAAATCGATTTATTTGTTGAACATGTACATGTTTCATTCGGTGTAATATAAGAAACTAGGAACTAAAAACAGAAACGACCCACCCCGGTTAGTAGTAGATAAATGATTACTTTGCTTTAGTCCGACTTCCCGCACGTGTACGTTACTAGTTTTTCCGGAACATTTGGGTGGAGTACTACTTTGTTTCGAACACATAACACAAACTTTAATATTATGGAAATACTATTTATACCCATTCAGAGGAATACGAGCCATGGGACCTCTTATTATTATGTAATTTGTATAATATTATAATGGCGGATGCACATGGAGTATGGTTTATGTTTTCTTTTCTTTTCTTGTTTGGACCCGGCATAATGGAAGTAATTTTAGTCTTTGAGAATTGGGAATATTTGTCTATTTTCATTAAAAAGTATTCCAAAATCAAAAGCAACGAACGCTGAATAAATAGTTATAGTAAACATATAATAGATTAAAATATAAACACATCAATATTCAATACTTAAAGGTTAAAAGATCAATATTACATTAGTACAGTATTATTAAAAATTAAAAAATTAATAATATACAATAATATACCTATAGTAATATATTATAATATACCTTTTTTATAGTTATGATTTTATTATTCATATTTTGTTGGGACAATATTTAAACTGCGAACACTGTAATTTAACATAATACATTATACATAGATTATATTTTGGTTGTAACAATCTACAATAAATTTTTATATTTGTGTAATCTACACTTGTGTAGTTGTATACTTGTATTCGTTGTATTTATATATTAATAAGCTATTTGTTTTGTAAATATCTAAAATAGCAATTTTCACACGATACGACAATATATGGTGGTACCTAATTATAAACATTTTAAAAATGTATTTTATTATTTTTATTTTTATCAATTTTTGACGTTATTCGCGAAAACATACTATTGGTTAATTTGGTTATTTGGTAATTTAATTATTAGAAAGGCGTCTATAGGAATACGTTTAAAATTAAAATAATTGTATAATAGTAGTTCCTCGTATGTCACTGTCACTAGGCTAGTCCACTACATAGGTAATGAAAATACCTTTTTCGTTTTAATCTTATACATAGCTTAAAATAATAAATTATGAAACAAATAGTTATGGAATACCAATACAGTAATTTGGAAACGTCGGGGACAGATTGATTTAGTCGGTTACATTCAGTATAATATATTATTACATTATACTATATACTAGTATATATTTTTAAAGAAATCGCCACGACCTGGGCTTGAAGAAGCAAGCTTCTAAGAACATAGTTTTCAATATTATGTTCGACAACTATACTTGAAATTGAATTTAAGTCGCATCGTATTTGTTAGATTGTTCACAGCGAATGACATTTATTACTTTCGAGCTACGCAAAAAGCCACAGAAAATAAAAATATAGTCGTCTAGCCGACTTTTTTATTCGCGCATATTATATGAAATGCATTCTAGCAACCGCCATTACCGATCTTTTCCCGATACGGTATCCATTTCGCATACGCGAATCCAAAGCCGTCTGCTCTTTCGACGTCAAATGTGGGTCACATAAGAAGCCGATCTCTCGCAAAACGATGGTGTAGTGTACGGCCTAAAGATAGTGTACACACCACAACTGTACAGAAAACGTCCTTACCGCTGCATTAAGCGTCACTGGTTATAATATTATTTCTTTTCACGCTCATTTCGCAGTTCCCCTATGATCGAGCTCGAGACCCACAGACTCAGTCGTCGTTTTTACCTTGGAAACGTATGCATCAAGGCGATTCGTGTGTTATATTATTATTATTTATTCGAAAATAGTTATTTTTATCTATTTTTAATGATATTGTATTATAGTATTATTGTATAATAAAAATGTCTGTGGCGAATAGGTCAGCAAAATCATACACACACATAATAATGTTATGGTCGAGTACGAAAAACTGATCGATAGGATTTCCTGATGAATAACGGTAGAGGTAGTAGGTACTAGGTAGTAGGTACCCACACGATCAACTCTCACTTCGCGTTCGCAGTTACATAACGAGTGGACAACAATTACAATTATTACTACTTGCCTTCACCGCCTTCGCCGATTATTATGTGAGCGTAATGATACATTTTTTTAAAAAAATCATGAGGCTGTTAGCTTATATTAGCGTTTTTTTGTATTTAGCTCTGAATTATTTAATATCAAACAGTTTAATTGTTTCAAAAACTAAAAGAGGTGCCTGCAGCAGCAGTCATATTTTACGAAGCGGAAGTTAAATCGGTTTTTCTTCGCTTCGTCAGTAATTAGTATTCGAGCGATCAAAGTTTTTCGGCACTCGTGTTAATATCTACAATTAGTAGAAACGCCTAAGTATATTGGAAACGACTAGAAGACATCATATTATTATGTTGTACTATGCTTTCTCTTGTTTTGATCATACGCGTAATTATAGCCGATGACCTAAATACTGTATTAGTGTCATCGAGACCCACCACTCTGTAAAGTCGATGTTTAGGCTTAGTTTAAATAAATATAATCATCATCTTCGGCCTCCTAATGCGGTTTTAAATTATTGTGGGTGTTGTCGCTCAAACCGAACACTGCAAGAAGGAATAGTGAAAGTGCTAATAGCCACGGAATAACGAATAAAACAATATGTACGAGTATATCGACCTATATATATTCGTTCCACATTATTCTAAAAAATTCCCCGAACAATGGCCATATATGGGAAGAGAAAAACTCACCTTGATTTCATGATATTTTTCTTCCAAATAGTATGCCAAGCTTCGAGCTTCTTCATATTTCCGCGATATGTCCAGATACTTTTCGTAGTGACGTTTGAACAACACAAATCTGAAATAAAATATGAACATTTTATTGAATATAATATTTATTATCTATCGTAAAAGTGAACGTTCATTAAAAATAATACATTACAGAAAATGGGGAACATTAGGAAATTATTGTTGCTGTTTATTATTTTTAGGAGCTATTAATTAAATTTTATAACTGTTAATGTTAACGAAGTTAATGACTTATAAACTTATTGTTGTATATTAAATATAAAATGATGTACTTCCATCATCCATTATTTTATATCTTTGAAGCTATTTGATCTGTCAAATATAATCTAGATTATCATGTTTCAAGATATTATAAGTAAAGAAAACATACTTAATTATTAACGATCATGAAATAAAAATAAATAAACAAAATACGTAAATTAAACTTGAGTCACGAATAGAATTTGTTCAAGTTTTAACGAAATTTCAACTATTTTCGCATAAACCATTAAAGCCATAACAAATCTTTGCATATATTATCTTGACGTTCCAAATTATGTTCTTCATGTTCACAAATGATTTTGATTATATTTTATTGTTTGATACACCTTAAATACATTTGGTGTCCAATTAATTTCTGTGATATAATATGTTCTACTCACAAGAGTTTAAAAATGTTAATTTTAAATATATTTTAAAGCTACAAAACTACTCCGAAGCCAAACAATGTTTTTACAAATAATTAGTTAGAATTTGTTGGGAATTTAGCTTCCGGAAATCTTATCGAATTAACCTTGTGATTTTATTCCTCGTAACATGAATGAACTCGACAGAGCAAAACCGCATGTCTTGTAGTAACAATTTTCACCTTTCAGCGTAGCAATTCAATATTTAGATATATTGTATGACGTGTAATACTGTAATGTGTATAAAAGAATACAACGGTTTTTAATAAAAATATCACATACGTCATATAACTACATAATATCAAACATCAGTAGATCGATCAAGATTGATCCATTTGCCAACTATTATACTAGGAACATTCTTCGTAATTCATATTAAACTGTAACTTCCACCTAATATAATTTTTTCTATAGTTTCTATTAAAATATAGTTTTATACTTTTATAACGCATAAAAAGCATTTAATATTTGTCGTCTTAAGTAGCTATCACAAACAAAACTGAGACTCTAAATAATTAAGCTAACATTACAATATAACAATTTACAATAAGTTTTTTTTTTATTGACTTTTATAATTATATAATATGCAAACATTTAAATAATTATAACTTATAAATTATAATCATTAGTTTGAAGAATAATATACTATTACATAATAAATATCGATGTATAAAATAAGCTTATGGAATAACTGTTTTAATATTATGTTATAGTAGTATAGTCTTACGATTATACGAAATTTTTTTAAAAATAATTAGGTAGATACTTAACCTGCTTATGCCAACATTTTTATATTTTATAGCTCACAGGAATATATAATAATATACACTTTAATTAAAATTAATCATAAAGGTAATCAAAATAATGAAGTAATTTTCTCTTTTAATTATTAATAAATACAATGCATTATAAGTTATAACATATTCCCAGTTGGTAAATATAATATGTAGGGGCATTTAAATTTCAAATTTCAATTAAATATAGAATTCAAAATTTTATGTCCAACACTATTTCTTGATTGTCATCACCAAGTTAGTATATGTTATGGCTATAGTGTCATGGAATTCATCATAATATTACAAAATTAATTGGTAAATATTTATGACAATACAACAGCTCAATCACACCCTACAGTCATTAATTGCACCCTTCACATAATAATGCAGTACCGCAACTAAGAATTTTGGGCCCCAGGGCAGCAGAAGTTTTAGTGACCCAATTGTAAGTACATTATATTACCACCCTCCTGTAATAAAATGCTTTCAACCCTACCACAATTATACTATAACTGTGATGTGTCTTAGGATGATTTCTCGAATTTGTTTACATCAGTGTTCATATTAAATACCTTAACCACAGAATAGATTAAACCTATTCTGTGCTTTACCATGGTTATAAAACACTACAGTGCAAACACCAATGTCATGGCTGAATCGAGGAAAAAAAATCCCGGTGAAAAAAGTCCCACCCTAGGAAAAAAAAGTCCCGATAAAAATTAATGAAAATATATCAAAATTGAAGCATAAATATGTTAAAAGTGTATTGAAAATACAAGTTACATACAAAATCATATAATATCATAAAAAAATTTTAAGTACTTACTTAAATAACATATTAAATTATAATAAAATAAAATTTAATAAAATGTAATATTATAATTAGGTACCTACACCTCTTTCTTATGTTATGGACTTACGGCTGTTAAAAAGGCCTGTTTATAAGTATACATATAACCTATTATTATACCAAAAAACGTTATTTTTATGTAATGTTCCAAATCAAAGTTCAAGTTATAAGTATCTGTAGTAATTTCGTATATATTTATTAGTCACTATTTTTGAAAAACCATCCAAAATGAATTCTTATTATAACAAAATTAATTTTTTTTTTTAAAATTACCTCGGCTAATTACCTTTCAATTTATGATGAATAATTTATAGTACGAAACTTTTTATATTTATCTATACATTTTGATATATACCATATTATCATTAAACTAAAACTTTTTTTATTTTTATAAGATATTTACAATCTATTCAGTATTCATACATAGAATAATAAGCGAATTAGATAAGAGTATTAAAAACATGAGTAATATGACGGAAGAAGCCACCCAATGATGACACTACCTATTTTGTTTCAAGTTTAGGAGGATTTCAACTAGGATTCAAGCATCTAGCAGGTCACGACACCAATATTACGTTTGAGACGTCTGACGGGGTTACCCGGAATCGAAGGGACTGCTAGAAAACTAAAACTAAATAGTAAATTACTAAATTACAGCAAAAGGCGAAAATATGATCTTCATAAATGAACTTGAAAATTAAATATATATATTAAAATATATACACTATATAGTAATAGTATATAGGTATGTAAGCTCCCTTCATTTTGTATGAAATTATATGATTTTTTATGTAACTTTAATTTATTTTTCATTACAATTTTAACATATTTCTACTTCAAATTAAGACAATTTTGATATATTTTAATTCATTTTTTTCGTGACTTATTTTTCCGATTACCATCGTCCATCATGGCTACATAATATTATCGAATTTCAGAGAAATCAAAAATTGATTATAAAACCGATAAGAGAATAAATATCGTGATATCGTACAACTATAAAATCGATAAGAAATTGTTAACAAAATATGGAATAGATAAACATTTTATATTTTTTATTATTATTTAATCTAGACTAACACAGAAGGTATCCAATCACAGGAATTGTGTCCTAAAATTAATCTCATAGTGCCCTTTTAGCAGGGCGTCAGCTGCCAGCCCCCCAGGTAATTGCGGCACTGTAATAATGTATTCAATCAATAGATCCACAGAGATAAAAATAATTTTATTTAAATAATTAATTAATTTTAAACTAAATAGGTAGATCGCTATTTTGCTAAAATCAAATATAATTTTTATTTCAGGAATAATATCGCTATTTCGTTTTGTAACAATATATTTGTATTATGTTGGTACTTCAGGTACTTGCACTATACATGATACATTCCATTACAGATACATAGTACCAATTGAGGTACATTTACTATAATTTAATTAAAAGCATATTATAAGTGGATGAAAAAATAGGTACCTACCTATTATTGCTTAAGTAGATACTCGAGTAGATAAGTCATAGATTCTGATCGGAGTGAGGAATTTATGGGACGTACAACGATGCACGTTTTCATGTTAGTAAATTGTTGTAATAAAAAAGGAAGAACACGCTTTGAATTTATACTTTTATCATTTTTATGATATAGGATATTTAGTTCGTTGCTGGCTTTCGTTTACCGTTTCATTTACTTATTACCTACTACAGAAAAATTCGAAAAAATTAATTTATACGTTAAAATGAATTTTACTGAATTACTTTCAATTGTTTCAAACAGTGATACTGGAATTAGCTTTTTACAACAACATAATATAGTTAAAGTTAGTGAAGTGTGTGAAAATGGCCATATAATGTTTATCAAGGGATCGCGATGGCGTTGTCAAAAAAGAAGTTGCCGAAAGGAAAAAGGATTACGAATTAATAATTGGCTAACTGGTTCTAGACTACCAATACACACAATAGTCCATTTCATATACTACTGGGCCCGAGAAATGCTATACATTTATATATTTAAAACAAAATAACATTATAACATTAAAATAAAATAATATTATACATTGAAATATTTTTTTTTTTTTATGGAGAAATAAAAAGATGTAATAATATTTAATGTATTATTATTTTTAATTTTTAAACATAGACATTTCTTTTCAATGAAAAAAAACCCAACAGCACACCTTACCACGAAACTGGTAAAGTAAGTTGAACATTAAGACCCTGAGGTTATAAACGTGTTCGTCATTATACTCAAGGATAATGCTCATGTAAATAAATTGTTTGATATTTATTTCGCACAATAATTGTTATGAATGCTTTGAGAATATTGAAGTACATATTATTAAATCTTATTGAAATTAGATGTATTGTATTTATTTGGCATAGGTATAAAATTAATTACTTAACAAAGATTTAAAATATATCAAATTTACTATGTTTAGCAGAATAGTCACATCAACTAAATAATATTTATGAATAAAAAAAAATAATGAATAAAATAATTGGGTTTGTAAAGGCGTTAGTGTATATTTAATTTAATTATTCATTTTGAATGATATTAAATTATTAAATTAAACACAATTCTAAATTGTTTTATAATTAATTAGCTAGTTGCAATACCTACCCATTTTAAAACTTGTTTAAAATGTAACAGGTATATAGATTTATTTTATAAATCACACCATTCAATACATTTAAAACAAATTTGTCTTCAAAGAAATTCTAGTACAGACATACCTAATACCCTAATATTATTATTGAGTAGGTATATACTGTAACTGTAGCATAATAGTTAATAAAAATACCTACGTTAAACCTAAAAAAAATGTATAATACATAGGTAGGTACTAGGTACAAGAAGCAAAATAGTTATCTAAAATAAACACAAACTGTTGTTTATTACCTGTAAAAGTCATTTTGAGATATGATGTCACCAATGCTATCTTCTGGGTCTATCCGATCAATTACACTACATCTTTTATTAGCACCCTCTGATGAAAAATCTCCAGTGAGCTTCAATAGCGGCGTTGGATTTGACTCTGGAGCAACGATAGGTGATTCATAGCAAGCCACAGATATTCTGTGATCATTAACTTCATCATCATACACCACACAAGCATCTTTTTGAATTTGAAATGCAGCATCACTTATACCATGCTGCATATCAGGTGGAGTATAAGGAGCACCTTGTAATATTAGATCATCACTACGGCTGTGCTTGAGTTCGCTATTCATACGAAAACTACTACGTGGACCAAGTACTGGTGAGAGCATCCCACATCGATACACCTCACGCCGAGGCGAGTTATCAGCCGAATGTACCATTATATCAGCCATGGTATCTCGTTTGCAACTCATATGGAAGGACACTAAAACATAAAATTAAAGCAAGACATTTAGTAAAATAGGGTTAAAAATACTAAAATAATGTTTGGTTAAGAGATTATAATCTATTTCTACCCAATTTTTATCCAGGTATGAGTTATAAACAATAAGCCAACATTTAATTTTAATTGAGTTAGTTTAAATTAAAACAAATCTGAAAATATATTTCTAAGCTGCCTATATAAATAGGTAGGTACCTACAGTATTAAGATGATAATTATCAATTAAAATTATTTTATGTTTCAATTGATTAAATAATGAAAATTACAAATTATATTTATCAACATTATTCTGTAAATTAGGTCATATTCAGATTAATGCATAAGCCCACAGGGCTGTTGTTATATAATAACTGGTCAATACCTATTATAAAATATGAGAAAGAATACCTTGAATAAGCAATTAATTTTAAAATTTTGTAAAATACCTACAATAATTTATTAACTATATTTAAATTTTAGAATGTTTAGTATGAGTTCTGGTATTAACCAAGAGGAATCATCATCAACAATATAGGTAATATCTGAAATATACACTTAGGTAGATATATTTTACCTATCTATAATTTAGACAGTGGTGAGTAACATAGGATCCAATTTGGTCAAGCCACACCTTAAATATTGGTGGGTAGGTGTACTATGATAGAATGTAAATAGGGCATTTTGTCGATAGGTATAAAAATATTATGATGGGTACCTAGATCAACAACAATTATTTGAGCAGCACCAATTTTTTTTTTTTTTGATACATGCCACTGAATCTAGGTATGAACTATTTTGAATTTATTTATTACTGAATACATAAGCTACTAACTTATAAAATACATCAGTGAAGTGGCTTTTAAAAATTGAAAAATGTGATAGGTATAGTGATACAGTAGCTACTCATATATTATTTTGATGTGATATTCTTCCTAATCCTGAAAATGTTAGAAAAAGAAGAAAAAGAGAAGTTTTTTTTTTAAATAATTGAAGTCAAGAAAAATTTTTTTCAAGTATTAAGCTTTATTTAATTACCTATATGGTAATTTTTATGCAATGTTATTTTAGTTATAATTATATTTAATCATAGTTTAGAACTAGGTACCTACATATCTATATTATATGTTTTTCTTCTTTTGAAAACTAAAAAATAATTGTTGGTAGGTATTTATATTTTGAGCGAAGCAAACAACTGATCCTATAGTTTTACAATGATGTTTATTTTTTATACTTAGGCACCTAGCAATCATAAAGCAGGTTAAAAAGTTTATGATATTGAAATTGTTAAACAGTCAGAAATTTCATCTGGATTGTACATAAGAGAGCTACCTACCTAAATTTGTTTACTTAATTTTAATGAAAACGTAAATTCTGAAATCAACTTGGGATTAATCGGGGGATTAATTGAATATAACAAACACTAGAGCAAATACCTACAATAAATCAAATATTTAATGAACAGTAGGTATTTACTCAATTGTGCAAACTTTTGGTAAACAAATAACTAATAAGGTATAGGTATAAAATGAGGTATAAAATATTAATTTCATCCTTTGTGAAGATATCAAACATTGATCAAAAATTAAAAATTACAAAATATTATGAAGGTAGGTACCTGGGGTAATATTAATATTTACCATATAATTAACACCATTATATTACTGACTGAAACCTTAATAATACTTTGTAAGAAAATGACCTGAATATGAAGTAAGTAGGTAGGTAGTATACTTACTATAAACCTACTATACCTAACATATTATCTATAATATAATGTACTTATTCTAAAATCAATGGTAGCATTTGAGGTAGTACCTATTATTTAACTATTTACTGTTAGGTATTTATTATGTTTTATGTAGGTAATTTGATATGATTATATTATTTTAATATACAGGTGTTGCACAACAAATATGTGAAACTTCTATAGGTGTCTTTACAAATCAAATGAAACAAAAATTCCTTATGACCCCTGCCTTAAAAAATAATTGTTGTTAGATACAACTTTTGTAAGATATGTTTTCCTAATCCCAATTTTATGAGCTTTTCATCAATGTATTCAAATTAATTATAGTACCTACGGTTTAGCAGATATGAACATTATTATGAATCAAACTTGAGTTTAACCAAAAACACACAAACATGGAAATTATCATCATTATTATTGATGATTCGATTATGGTTATAAGGACTTTTTTTGTTCCATTTGAGGTGTAAAAACACTTCTAGATTTTTGACACATTTATTGTGCAACACTGTATATTGGCACTAAATGTGTGTAGGTATTTATTATAAAGTTTGATTATTTCCCTTACTGTTACCCCCTCTTATGTGTTACCGAGTGTGTTACGGAAGTTAAGGATTTAAACTTCTTCTATTTTCCCTCACTGAATTTTCGACCTCACATTAATTATATTGTTTGCAAAGCGCTCTGTGTAGTAGGTTCTATAAGGTGACATTTATCAAACTTCAATTCTTCCAAATGTTTTTCAGCACAATGCACCTAGCTCCGCTAGTAAGGATGTTATTAGAGTAGGTACAGTGTCATTGTTTGGTCTCCTTATACTTTGGGAGGGACATGCGACATCTTGATAAAGTTCAGAACCGTATTCTGAGTTTTGACAGTTACCGCCTCAATATAGCTCACCCGCCCCACGAATATAGTCATATCATTGATGTTTTTGGTGTTAAATCGCTCTCCGAAAGGTGTCTTTCTTTAATTTATAACTTATCATAAGATCTGTTAATTTTTGTATTTCTAATATTGTTCTTAAAATCTGCATAGGTAGTGTTTATTCTTATAAATAAAATAAATAAAAATGAAGGTAATCTTTGGATGTTTGAAATCTTTGAAATTTCTGGTAATTTTTTGAAATCTTGTGTACAATTTATTTAAGAGTGATTTACCATCCACAATAGATAGAAAAAATAAGCCAGTCTAAAAATTGCGTGTATCTATAATTCCTCTTTAGTTTGGAATACTTTAGATTGCTTATAACTAATAATCATTCTTATTCAACTAACGTCATAGGTATTAACCTATTACCTCGCCTATTACCTACTAATAAGTAATAACTACCTAATTATTAAAAAGATTGGGTTTTGTAAATTAAAATGATAACATTTTACTGGAAAGAACACAATTAGAAACCTAACTAGTTAAATATGTTGATAACTTCCTAGGTAGATATAGTTGTATGAAATAAGTAAATAAGTTATCATAACTAATAGAAATATAAGGATTTTTTCTAACTGAGGTACCTAATTTACAACTTTTATTTAAAACAAACATTGCTAGGTATCTATGTCAGGAATATTCTCACCATAAGTCATTAACATATTATTCTAAATACTAGGTAAGTAGGTAAATAATTAATTGGGAATACAATCATTATAATTTAAGTTTCAATTATGTTTTGATTTAAGTATGCACTATGCACGTAACAATTTTTATTTCTGTAATGGGAGAGATTAGCAATTTGCTTAGTATATTATGGTCATTTATCAAATTTTAGAGTAACATACTAACAAACATATTATTATCACAGTACACATAGGTTGCGAAGGTTTAGCGAAACATATATGATAGACATTCACTATTCACAACATATTTGAGCAGGGCACTACCTATAGAATCATTGAAAACGTTCAGAGATACAATAGATTCAAGTCTAGCCGTCATCGGTGTTCGAGTGCAACAATAATTATTGTCCGAAGACATAATATTTTGTACCCTGACTGTCAACCCATGTTAGATGGGTGGCTGTTGATCAGCGAGATTATAAACTGCATACTTGACGTCGGTCGCTCCAACATTTTGTTCGCTTGGAATGAAATTAAAATCTAACGTTATCGAATTTTCCAGCATTATAATATCATAGTGTTCAAGTCCCCAGATTTAGGCCGCCGCACCCGCGATCGGTGAATGTGCTTAAAGACTAACGACACATCTGAATCGACCTCGGTGCGCGACAACAAACAAACAAACAGGAAAAAACAAGTAATAAGGCAATGGTGTAGCACATGGGTCATCTGCTAGTCCATCTGCCGTCCGCGTAGACGGTTGTAGATAATCAGTAACTCACCATCAAAAACGTGCGACGACTCAGCTTCCGGTCGATCGATCGTCGGCGGTGACCACGATGCGCGCACAACTGCTCGACGGGTGTCGCGGAGACTCGCTTTCGCACACAGCGGACGTGTAGAAATTGTTATTGCCGTTTATCACTAATAATTTGTCCCGAGACGTCGGGCGGCGTAGACGACGAGAAGACGAGACGGCGACGACAACGCGACTAGCAAAATCGAAACGCACTGCACGGACACGACGACGCGGCGCGCACGGGCACTCGACGCGGGCAACGAACGAACAGCTGCGGCGGTGGCGGCGATTGTTTTGCGCGCACTGTTTATCGATTGTTTTCGCGATAATCGCGCGCTCCAAAAAAAATCGTCGGCCTGCACGTCTGACCGGCACACGGAACGCAGCCACCACCACTCGTTTGTATTTTCATATTTTCGGTTTTCCAGTTGGGCTTTTTCCCGTCGGGCTTTTTCATTTTTAACTGGACCGGTGAACCGAAAAGCGAGACTATCGTGTCGATAAGGGAAACGGAACACGTCATGGCCGGGGCAATCGTGCGGATCTTACGATCTTGTTCACGGTCGTTCGTGCGAGTTGTGTTGCCCGGCGACATTTTTCCCGGCGACAACACGTCGAAAACGCTCCGTGGCCAACGACCTCCGCCGGACGGACGTCGCGTCGTCCTCGTTCGTACTAATGTTTGTATTGTCTCGAAAGATGGCGCCGATGATACCTAAACTAAAAGCTGCGTAAACTTGCAAAAGTTTCCTAAGACCATAGAGATACTTATCACATATTATAAAACAAACTATATTAAATACTTATAAGTTATAATATTATTATAGTACTATGTCTAAACCTTCAAACACGGCTTATTGGTGAATCGTAAATTTATTCGTTCTATCTAT